GAATATTGATTCGATTCGAAATAGTATTATAATATGTACCCTGAACCTGCACGTATAAAATCGGTAGAGTATAAAAAAATAAGAGCAACCATATAATTGTGATTGGAATTTGGCCACGGAAAACCCGAACCACGATAACGAGTATGATACAACTAAACAAGTGTAACCAGTACTAACTATAAAGGGGATACCGTGGTACATAAGGGAGTCCGAAACACACAGATATTAAACATATCATAGAGTTATAGTCACTAAGGGAGCTGAGATCTGAGAAACTCCACACCAGTCGAGCGTATATATTTATATTCGGGACCTATTATAATAAGGTAATTATATTTAATTACAAGATAATAACTGAAAATGTATTGGTAGACACATCTGGTCAACGTTGGATTGGCCGAAACAAATATTTATCAGTTACATTATAGGCGTTCTAGCAAAACGTTAAAGTCGAAGTTGTACTAAATATTATAGTGTTTAATTATTATGGAACTCGTGTCATTTGTAATGAGTGGTTTTAAATTTTTTTTTTTTAAATTATTTTAAAACTGACCTGACTTTTATCTAAGCTTAGTGCTAGTAAAAATAAAATATTCATTTTTTAACTTTACGCAACAAAAGAAACATTTTTTTCTTCGGCTCATTACAGACAACTACCTATAATAAACGATGATTCAGTTAATTATAGCCAAAATGTTGGTCTACAGTTAATAATTATTGGTTTAATGATTATAACAATAGAATAATGCAAAAACATTCGTTGCGTATTTCTGATAAAAAATATGTTTTACATTTTTGTGGTATGTATACTGTTAGGTTTTCTTTTTCAATAAGTTTTCACGTCAAACGATTTTGTTTGCGTAGAGTATGTTTTTTTACACTATGCCCACATCATGTTCAAGGTATTAACGATTCGCCAAAGTGCGGGGGCGTCAAGAAACGAAGTAATGTTTTTTTTACACGTATCATAATAATTTCAGCGGAGGTGTACAACGCAATATTATTCGTTCGCATGTTTAATCGCTTATTCCAATATAATATTTTACAGGCTGTGTGTGTTGTCGTTTATATAAGTTTTACCAGTAACCTGGTGCGACGTACAGAACTTTCAGTGTCAGTGCAAGGTTTATAATAATTTTTTTATTTAATACACGATATTATAATATTGATAAATCTCTCGTTTCTCGATTTTTTACAAATTTGAATGTTTAAATGTTCAGTAAAATATAGTAATTTATTGAAAATTTGAAAACAACTAAAGAAATATGAGGGCATTTTTAGTTAGTTATTCAATAGTGAAACAACATTATATGATAGCTATTAAGGTATAGTTTTTTATATTTATTTACAATTATCTCGTATTCTCTTTATAACAACACTATAATTATCACAGAGAATTATGTGTAAGATTAATGTTTTATATTTTCCCTATTTTTTGATTTTAATAATACATAACATTTTTGAAGACTTATCACAATATTTTAACTTGTAAAAATAAAATTGTTTTTCAAATTAGTTATCATTGTTACTTATAATTTATATGCAACAGACTTTTAATATACTTTCATAAAAAAAAATCTTGTCAAGTTTTTGTAATTTAAAATTTAAATTTGAGTATTACTGTTTATACTAAAATGATTTAAATAGCATTATAAAATATAAATATGAATAAATCCAATTCCAATCAGAATGTTCTGGAAACTTTTAAACTTTTTAGTTTTTCAGACTTTCATTAAAATTTTAATGTGACTAATTTAGCCATCCTAACATAAATAAATAAACAACAAATTGTACATCGAAGTAGGTGTAAGGCGTTAATTGATATTTTTTTTTCAAAAAAATCTTAGATAAAAATTATGGTAAAAATGTTTAAATGTAAAATCATGAAGCACCTACAAATATTAATATATATTTTGAGTTTTCACAACTTACTGTGCGTTATAAAACAGTTAAAAGTAACATTTTGTATGTGTCCGCTATATCAATTAAAAGTTTATCAAACCGTAGCTTATTCATTCAAGTACTTAGTAATTTGTCAACTATAACTCAAGGGATTAACACGGAAAGGCACAAAGGTACTACCTAAAAAGTATTTGTCATGACTCCCGAGCAATTTTCATATTATGCGAATTAAAGTTTTTCATATGAAGATGTGTAGGTACTAAAAATCTTTCACCTGATAATCAAAAACAATTTCGTCAAGCACTCAAATGTTTTGTAATATATTTCTTGGATATACTTAAAATTATGAACTTAATGTAATCAATAATTATTACATTAAGCCAGTAATTGTTTTTCGCAAATTATTAATAATAAAATAATACATAGGTACTTATACATAATATTTTTATACACGTCACAGGGCGATTCACCAAACATGCTAATCTTTTTCATTGTCTTCAATAATTGATTTTTGGAATTTATATAAAAACTGTATACTGTAGCAAGACATTTATACTGTAAATTATAATGATTTTTCTGAGAATAATGACGTATCAAAATTCGAATCTCGAGTATTTTTTAACATTATTTAACTTAGTGTTTTTCGTTTAGTAACGATATTAGCCATTAGGTCCATGATAAAAGGGCTTGGAAAATATAAAAGCCTATGGTGATTTGAAAATAAAATTGAAGTAATTATTATTAATCTATCGAAAATTATAGTTTGTAAAAATAAATATTGGACCAATATTACTTATAATATTACTTATATATTTTAAATTTTTATAAAATCATTTTTAAGGACTATACATAATATAGTCTTTATTATTAACATAATAATAACTGAGAAACTACTCGTTAAAATGTTGAAAAATTTATAAAAACATGATTCACTTATTAATCTCCATTAGAACAATAGAAGAGTGCTCGTCAGAAAAATAGATGTTTGTAACACCACGGGAGTACAAGACATTCTAAAACTAGTATAAATAATCTTAAAAATGTAAAAATGTGGTATTTGAAGTATAATTAAAAATTCCCTAAGTCATAATTTATAACGTACGTTACCCTTAGCAAACCCACATACTCATGGTTAAAATGTTAAATGAAAAATGGGAATGAGCATACTTGGTGCGATACCCTGTATAATATGATACATACCATAAAATTTATATGAATGGCCCTGTTGTTGATTGGTTGGTAATAACTCAAGGTGTAATAGTATCAGTCTGTATATCGGAATAAAATAAAATCGTTTGGAAAATATATTACGTTTGTCAGTCTCCCACGTGGTATACAAGACAAAGTATAGACTATAGACACAATTTTCAGAGCATTGGTTTTAATTTCTTAAATTTGCGAAACGGGCTTAGTTAATCTAATTCTGGTGTAGAGGTGGACTGTCGCATAAATACAGTGCCCCAAGATTTTCGTACCCCGAATGCATTATGTTTAACTTTTTTACAACCCCTAACACTGCCAATTGACAACAATTTGACTAATTTTGACCGGACCATTGGCAAGGTACATTATCTCGCCGAGCACCTGGTAGTGTTAGTACGGTAATAAGTATATTAACAGTGGTAACAGCTTTTTCGATGTATCCATCTGATACTTTTACTTTTTCCGTCTGCGGTTGTGTCGTCATTGATACTTCATCAATCATCATAGTTGATGATAATGTAATGGTCACGACCAACGTCTAGTTCTAGACCACTGCAGTGATCGATCACTAGTGTTTCCTCTATAATCATCATAACATTATAGACAATTGTTTGGGTAGAAACAATAGAGTTTCGTGAGAAAGTTAAATCAACGCAATATTGATTGGCTGTACCTTTGTTACTGTGAAGTACGAAGAGAATACCACGGAATAAATACTCGTTTTATTGATTATTATTTTCGTAGTTATATTAAAAACATAATGATCACAAACAGTATTATAAAAAATGTATGTACCCACTCGTGGATCACAATCAAAAGCCAAACAAAAATCAGGATGATGATTTAGGTAACAATTCAAACCGAACGGAAATGAGAGAGACCAATTTGTAATACATTTTTCAATAACTAAAACACGAAATTGCCTAGGAAGAATGTTGATCAAAGATTTAGTATAATATATATATATAATATGCAAAGACCATAATCATTAAATACTTATCTATTATATTATATAATGCTCTCCACTTTTTCAAGCCATGTACTGTTCTTTGTATTAAGCCACAGATTTGTAATAATATACGACTTCACAAACTAAAAAAACATTGAATAAACAATGTTTATATTGTGCAACGTAATATTCTCAATGGCAATGCATTTAGAAAATGACGAAACGGTAATTATGATTATTATTAAAAGCCTAAATTGCAAGGCAACAGTATCAAAATGTAAAACGTTTTGCTTAATTAAATATTTAAACTATTGTGTCTAGCGTATAGTATCAAGTATTGACATGTCAAATTAGTATTGTGAGGGATGGTTTGGTTATAAAAAAATAAAAATTTTAATTTAAAATGTATTTTTAATAAACATACAATACTTTAATACAACTGATGTGTATACAATATACGTAGATATATAACAAAGTATAATGCACCAAGATATGATGACATTACGATACGCAGAAAACAATTTTTTAGCACTTGTCGCATGGCTCGCTCACGATCACAGTTCTTCAACTAATATCGCGTGATGATTTGTTGTTATAAATATAATAATTAATTATTTTTTAAATACATTTCACTGTTATAGTTATCTTTATAAACAATATAACAAAATATTATGGCTTGATTAGATTATTCTTACAAACTACGTAGTACAACAGTCATTAATGTTATTATTTTCAAGCGACGAGTTCAAATTAAAAGTATCATGGTATCATATAAAAATCAAAATTATTTTTATGTGACAAAATGCAAGTTTTTTGATTTTGATTATTAAAAACAAGTATAATAATATAATATAATGTTCATAGTATGAAATAAAAACAATCAAATTCATACGCGGTACCCGAGATGTTTCTCCGTCTTTGTGGAAAAAAAAAACAATCACAATCTTTGAATGCTTAGTGTATTAACGAATATAATATCTTTGAAAATGAGTTCGGTTAAATCCAAATCGTTTGAATAAGAATGTATTAGATTAATCAAAGAGTTTAATAATAATTATTAATATATGGTTAGTACATCGTTTTATGTATTTGAATATAATGGCAAAACGCCAGCGTGATTTTTTCGGTTAAACATCTATAGTTAAAGGAAATAAAATAGTATCATTGGGAGTAACAATATCTTAAACATTTTTTTAAATACATTTTTTTCTAACAATAACATTATACCTACTATTTATAGCTATGTACATTTTAGAGACTGTAAGTAATAAATAATAATAATTAAACTTTCCACAATATAAATAGAAAACAATAATAATATTTATCTAAATATATATATAGCACAATAATTTATAGCATAATAATAATAATAATATACTACCATAGGTAGAGGTATAACATAAAAAGGGTAAATGTCGCAGTAATCGTTCGAAAAAGGCGATTTGTATGCGTATATTATAATTGACAGCATTATCTTATTTTTATAATAAATAATAATAAAAATTACCTAGAAAATTAAAGAGATTTAAACGATAGAATTATTTAGAGTCATATAGTTTGTGATACCGATTGATTTTAAAAACATTTATTCTATTTACGCAATAAGGTTTAATTCAATATTACAGTATTGTCATTTTGATTGTGTACGTGTATCAAATAGTAATAAATAACAGAAACGAAATATTCAGTTGTGATTTTCAAAAGTAATACCTCGTAAATTATTATATTGTTTTGTCATTACGGATGATTTATCAGATAAAATATTATTTAACGTGAAATAAATGCATTTTTTTTTGTGGAACGATGCAGTAAGTACCTAACAAGAACAACCTCCGGTCGAATTAGATTATGTATTTTAACTGTAATTTAACGGCCGCTTCGTGCTTAAACACGCGGTGCAGTTTTTTACGATATACAAACGCGTATTACTTGTCGTTTACGAAGTTATTAATTCGCTTAACGTCGAAAAAACCAAACACACGATTTTAATTGACGCGGAGACAGTTATTTCAGAAGCGCTAATTTCGTTAAAATTATAATCTCAATAATTAGGAATTTAAAACTTATGCCTATAATTAGTATTTAGTTTCTTTATTTACAAAATATTATAGTTAAAAAAAAAACATTTAATAAAAAAAAATAACCGCTTTCGTTAAAACATATTATAATAACTGATATCTATACACGTAGTGGTGACACACTGCAGATGGACAAATTCAAGTCTTTTAAATAATCAATAATATTGTGTATTATAATTTGAATATTATTGACGTGAATATATTTTGAACACCAATTTTAAAAAATAATTGTCTGGGTTTCGAACCAGAGATGATAATACCGACCAGGAAGTGGATGCAATCGATCTAAAGTCATCCGTTTACATATATGGTACACTATGCACAGGGTTTTAAAATTTCACGAAATTAATTTTCTTGAAATATTTCACTTAAGTGAAACATAAAAATGAAAAAAAAAAATGTTTATCACATCCAAAAGTGTGTAGTCATAAATTTCCAGCAGGGGAACATTTTTTGAAAGTTGGTTTATATTGCATCGAATACCAATGAATAACTACTAGCTGACAGTGATCCGATTGATAAGTGATAAATTAACCGATGATAAGTATAATACCAATATTACCATTTATACATAATTTATAACCATTGACATAGTCAATTGTAAACGTATTGGCTCATAAGTCCTTCCTTATCGATATTTTTTGAGTGATGTAAATCGATGATCATTTATTTATAAGCAAAAACGTTTAAAAGAAAAAAAATTCTGAGAAATATTTCTGGAAGAGTGAAATTTTCTACCGTAAACCGACACTCAAATTGTTATGACGTTTCCCGTACAATATTATGGCACTGACTGTATACCATTCACGCCCACAGTGGGTCACCACAACGTGTATACAAACAGTTAAAATAATCTTCGCGAATACGATTTCGAAGGTATTCTCGCGCCCGTTTGCATGAATAATTTTTCGTTAAATAAACAATTTAATCTTTATATATTCGTAAAATGTATGACTATAATAATTGTATATACTAACTATTTATACATTGAGTTGTGTACATTATACACAATCGCGAGCCCACACACGCCGTCGAAACGTTGTTTGAGAATCTGAAACACATAATATACAATTATTATGAGCGGTGGAATTTCGAGCGAGTGTGTATTATGTACCTATATTTTAATAAACAGCGTCATATAATAATATTAACATAGCGAATATTAATTCGCGTTGCTCGTTGTAAATCGTTTCAAAATTATAATACGCAAACATCTGTACACTGTGTGTATTATTTTAATTACTATTAATTAAAAGAGCAATAGTCGCATTTCGGTAATGGTTGTAGAAGGGAGGTATACGCGTGTACCTAATTTCCTCTAGCTCTCTTTTTGCCTTTTAATTAAGGCGGCCGACCTCTCTTGACAACAAAAACAACAACAACACAAACAAAAACAATAATAATATATAATAATAATAATAATAATAATAATTTCGCAGAAAGCGATTGCGGGGCCCGCGTGTACCCGCCGCGCAAAGTTATCGTCATCGGTTTATCTTGCAGGTCAACAAAAATGAACCCTTTTCGAACGTATGCACTCCACACGCCGTCTCGGCTGTTGCCGGGTATCAATAATTCAGCACGGGTCGTCGTACGCAAAAATGTTTGCATTCAATTATAAATTAAAATACCTTCCGGCAACTGCGCCCTCCCCGGCGCAAAAAAAAAGTGGGGGTTGGAGTGGACTGCATGCGCTCCATTTAATTAAGTACACGCTCCTTTGCCCCGGCGAGAGCGCCGCCACCGTGTCGTCGTTCAGATTCGATCAAAAGCCCGAGGCCTTTTCGGGTACGCCTATATACGCACACGTCGGGAAAATTGTATGTACGTTAATCGTGCCGGGTGACGTTTTGCGGAGACCAACTCGAATTTTCACGAACGTTAGTAGGTACTTTGCACACGTCATTTTAAAGTCCACCTCAGTTGACGAGTTCCATATCGTAGCATCATGTGGCAGTGAATGTTGTAATATGTATTATGCGGCTGCAGTGGCGTACCCAGGATTTTGGATCGGTAAGAGAAGGGCCGCAGGGGAGGACAGCTATAAGAGAATAAGCTATGAAAAATATTATTATTGGTTTTTTTGGTTTGTTTCAGTGTCGTGCAACAGTCGTCGATCACCAACGCAGATAACGTGTATTTGTTGTCAATATTCAAAATGGATTTTATGGATTTAAAATTTTAAACGTTTCGGCTTGGAACTTTTAAATTTGAACATATATATATATATTCTCATATAGACGCGAGTGAAGGTGTGTGCCCACCCATCCTCATCGCTAATGAATATATTTATTGACATCATATCGCGAAATACATATACACCACGCCGCGGTACATAATATTATTATGCGACATATGAATAATATAGTCTCGGTGGTTATTTTTACACTCGTTAATCGACGAACGACAAAAGTGCGGATATCATAACGGCTCGGTCCGGCGGAAGTTACGGTGAAAATAATACTCGCACGACCACGGTCGTCGTCGTCGTCGCCGTTTCCGGGCGATAATAATGCGTTTTTTTTGGGTTTTTTTTTTTTTTTTGTTAACACGACGTGTAATATATTACAGAGGGGCACTCGTACGTATAGCTACGACACTGTAGTTCGCAGTATTCCCGCGGATAATTTATAGCGGTTTCAGCCGCTGCGGTTCGTCCGAGTTGCGGCGATACGCAAGTTTTGAATTCTGTATATTTACCGTTCGTTCTAATGGTTATTTCGCTGATGTTTGTTTGAAAAAAAAAAAAAACGCGTCAAATTTATCATTCGTTGTTGAATTCGCGAAATAAATTTGCGTGTAAATACGATTGTCATCTCGTGCATTGCTGGAAAACTGCGGGTTTGGCGGGACACGGCGTCATCCAGATGCACAGCTCCAGTGAATACCCGTGTGGGCGTGTAACGATAGTATCGGAATATTATCATTGTTTTTAGTTTCGCGCGGTACGTAAAAGTGTGCTCGGGGACTTTTTCGTGCCGGTGTCCGAGATGGAGTTTGTAATGACGATATGGGGGGGGGGGGGAAATGTCGGCGAGAAACGGTGGACTCGACGGGGTGTTATAGGTGTTTGTGGAACAGGTGGAGCGTGCAGACGACTTCTGCGTCGGTGTGCACAGGACCACGACTGTATATATATTTATAATAAACACGAACGAGATGGCGGCCGCCTCGACTTCTCAGGTCTGAAGTTATGGTTATTTTTTCCGTCTTCCCGTGTCGCCGGGCCGTTTATCCCGCGTGCCGCCGGTGTCCGGAGAGCGAAATGCCGGACAAGGTCGAGGGCGGGGAGAGAGGAGGAAAAAAAAATACTTAAACCTGCGCGGAAAGACAGCGAAAACGTCGAGACTGAGTAGTGGAAAATGTACAGACCTGTCTCGTAAATTACGACTGAAACGCAGCGACGGCGGCAGCGGTCGCCGCAACGACGACGATGCTAATAAATTCTTTTCCGCATCCCGCAGTCAGGGGCTCTACAGATTTGGCTGCCACGCTCACTGTGAAAACAAAACAATTAATGTAACGTGTCGGCCCGAAAGCCTCACACACACGCGCGCACACACACACACACGCACACACACACACACACACACACACACGCACACTACATATTATTACATAGGTACAATATGGGTATAATGCGCATTCGCCACGTATAGATTTATATATAATAAAATATATAATACGTGCACAGGTATATACCACGAGTAGGTGTTGCGCGGTTACTATGACAACAAATCGTCTATACATCCTATGCACACGCGTGCACTATTCGCAGTCGAAGACGACGACGGGATAAGCCCCTCCGTTATTATATTATTTTCCGTGTAGGTGTTGTATACAATATAAATACGTACGGGACGTATGGTTATATGTTTTTGTCAGTGTTTTCTGCTGGCGACATGCCTAAGAATAATTTGCGACTACGATATCATACATATATATACACAGACATGACATTTTAACGTAAGAAAATGTCCAGAAGATGTCCAGAGTGCGTATACCTATACGGTCTACAGCAATGTGCTACGAATAAGGTCTACGAGTCCGAGAATATTCCTGGATTCCGCCCCCTTCGAGCGATATACTGTTTTTGAACATTATAACGTTATTCTACCGCGGCGTCAGGTAAAAAAGGTAAATGTAAAATATAAAAACAGACTGCGGGGCGACGATCGGCACCAGAAGTAGTGTACGTCTGTGGACTAAAAAACGCATCGAGTTATATGACTCGATATATTATTGTACTCATCGTATACCGAGAATAAACACGATACCGAATATACCGCATATACCTAACCTCACCCATAGATTCTATGGTCATGGTAATATTATAACGTGCACCACGGTATGCGTAAATATGAATATTACGGTTTACAATATAATATAACATACACTTTGCACGGAATTACGATTCGTAACGTTTGTTTAATGTACCGACTAAATTCGCGTAGAATTTATTTGACTTTGGTTTATTTCTACAATATACGTACTCGAGAATTATTACAATATCGCGTCCGTTCGTTATTCTATGTTGTTGTAATAATATTGTTGTATAATTTTCCACCCGTTTGTCACACTTTAAACGGTTCAAATTGCTGTAATAAACGTTATACCGCATATAATACCAACCGCGGTGCGCGTTGTATGAGTGAATTAAAATAAACACTCGAACCATAATATTTTGCACCGCATTTTGTACCCCTTAAATAAGTTGGAATATTATCATAGGTGAGAATGCTTCCTCCCCCCAACCAAGCCCCCAAATGCACCATTAGTCACCCCCCATAAAACAGACAGCTTTTTAGACAGTTTTTGTGTAGGATCGAAGACTCCGCTGCTCACATTGACGGTAAAATTGTTAGCCTCCCACCCTGAAATGGCAATGACTTTCTGCCTATGTATATTATATTGTTACTAAAATATGGAACAAATTGTAGTGCGTGCGACATGGAAAAACAATTAAGTGTTTATATATTGATGACCAATAATATTGCTCATATTATATTCATTGTCATTTTTCTTCAAGTACTACTAAACGACTCGCAGGACGTAGCTATAAGCCGATTTACAGACTATGGAAGAAATAATTGTCAACGGAATATGTCAAACGTAAAAGGTTATTTATAGATTTCCCGACAAAACAACAAAAATATAATTATATATTTCTATTATATCGTATGCATATCATTTTCGATTATCAGCGCACCACGCACTGCGTAATTCGTTTGTCTAGGTTCGAATTATATATATGATTATATTATAAAAATATTATGTCAGTCAGACATCACGCGAGTACGTTATTACATTCACCAATGCCTATTTACATTATAGGTACTTGCAGTATTGTTATTTTGGGTGCGTCGAAAATTTATTTACGAATTGCCTCACAATTATTTCGTATATTTCTTTCGTTTGAGTTTCATTTCCCGGCTTTATAATATTATTATCCTTCCGGGTAGGTACATTAACTCTGATCAAGCGTTTCGCAAAAATCTTTATTGTTACAAACGTGCGATTGTTCACACAATACGTCTTTATTGTTGAAACTGAACAATATAAGTATACTATTGTATAGTAATATACACCTGGGTTATAACATTACCGAATATAAGTACGACTTAGGGGGTATCCTGTGAAGATAAAAACTTCTGTTTTTTAGCAATTTAGCATACATTTTCAGAAAAATTATCCACTTACATTAAAAAGAGGAGGGGGCTCTTATTTGAAAAACAACATTTTGTGGTACACAGCACATTCCTTAGGCAGTATGAACAATTTCAAGAATTTGAAAAAATGTGGTCTTTAAGTATATTTAATAATTCCAAAAATCAAAACTTGTACAAATTAATAAATATAGGCAAAGGAAAAAATTGAGTATCTAAGCATACTTGATAAATCCCTCTGTAAAATATTAAAATGATAACAAACCTACAACCCTTGAGTTCTGTGGTTGAATCATTCGTTTTTAGTAGGTACACATTATAGTATTTACTTTTTTCCTTAATAACATAATTTTTAATTATATCTTACATTGGATGATGTTAGAGAATTCTGTGAAATAACTACTAATAACATAATTTTAAAACTTATTTAACGTATTCTTAGTATGCAAATATTATCTCAAATTTAGTTCATATTTCATATTTACATTTCAATTATTCGACTTTAATCATATAGGCAATTATTAAACGATGGTCAGTTCACTAATTTAATTTCTAATAAGACCGGAAATTACGATATTCTAAGGCTCTTAAGTATCTTATTTAGCCACATTGGTATGAAGAGTTTCAAGATACATCCTATACAAATATTATTTGTGTGAAGTATTAATCCTATAAAACATTCATATTTTATTAAGAATAATTTTAATCATACTTATAGCCTATAGGTAAGTTTATTAGTAATTAATTTTAATATTTATTTTAACCTGAAATGAACTTAAATTATAAATATTTACAAGCTAATCGGTAAGTATTATCGTTTAACATCTTAACATCAAATACTGATTCAAATGTTTAAACGTATTTACAGACACGCAATTATTCAATCTAAACTTAAAAATAATAAAATAAAATACCAACCAGTATTTCTATAATAATTGAATTTGATGCAAGCTTAATAAATTATGTTCTGTCTTTTCTTTCGGCTACAAGATTTGGCTTTTATAGTTAAATTTGAGCTTATTAAATACTATAAAGTGCACTATTCTAAACAAAGCATAAATTAAAGGATCAACTATAGTTAGTTAATTTAATTAAATTTAATTATTTCAATTATTAATAATTAACGAAATAAAAATTCTTTATAAATTAAATTAACTATCAAAAAATTTGTTTTTACTTTTGAAGTCTTGATTATTTAAAAAAAAAACAAATTTAAAACAACATTTACTTTGTATAATATACTTTTAAAATAAATCCAATTATGTTTTCAACTGCCTGTTGTTTTATCCGGCATGACTATACAATGTTATATCGTGTTTTAAATAAACCTTGTTAGACCATTTGACATTTATTTATTAGATTCTGAGGAGTGATAAACGTATTGGGTTTTCAATAGTGTTTTTTTTTTTTAGAAAATGTTTATTTATATTTGGGACAGTAAAATAAGCTCAAAATGTTTCATACAGTTTCTATCGAGATTGAATATTGAACACAGATGGTACTTTAAAAGGTAATTTTTTGAATTTTCTAGTAGTTTTTGTAAAAAAAAAAAACATTGATGAAATATAAGCAAGCACCTGTTTTAGACAAATGTTCTCCATTTTTGGTTATACAAAGCTCCACTCAGAACCGCTTCTCGAATGCAATGATTTATCATTGCTTTTAAATATAAAGATACCCGCTATTATGGAACATCCAAGTTTAGTATCAGTACTTTTTATTCAGTAATGGTACGCAACCATTTTAGTAAATGACGTAGATATAAATATATAAATCGTTTGATCGACGCGTTATATAATTCGATGATTTTATACATTTAAATGTGTTGTTTTATTTTCCTCCAATATTCTATTATTATCCTCGTATTTTCTATAAGATTTTAAAATATTAAGCCACTTCTTATTATGGTATTATTCAATAATATTATATTTGATTTTAAATTGTCTTTGTATAATAATATTTCTGTCACTATGCAAATAACGCATATATATTTTAAAAACACGTCTTTTTTCCTATCAGTTATATGTCATGTTATACAAATCCGCATTATCTGAAAACAATATAACATAATATCTTTATTGTCATACAATGTTGTCGATGTCATGAATAGTCATTGTTTTCATATTATATTATCACGGCAGGGTGTATAAGCAACCTTGATACACGTGTTTTGTGCTAATTGGAGTAATTTCAAAATACAAGAGGAATAACTAACTTACCAACCATATAGCAATTATTATTAATTATTATTAATCTATTTAAGTTTTGATTTATGCGTATCAACGTTTTAAAAAAAAAATCATCGGCTTGATAATTTATGGGGGAAAAATTGATTTTCGTTTAAAAAAAGTACACATCACCACAGGATACTTCTTAAATCGTATAAAAATTGTAATAATTGAAAATACTGTGTTTCTTAATTAAACTTAAAAATTCTAAAAATCAATGTTTAAAATATAGACTCATTATTAAAGAAAACAATGAGGGTGAACATGTTGTATTATGTCATTGTATAATGATCTGTCTAATAGTTTAAAATGTATTATTGCTGAACAAAATACATAGAACACCACCTACGTAAATATTGAATACTTAACTATTATGATTTTAAGGGCACGCCTTTTCATCGTTCGCCATCCCCCCCCCCCCCATTTATCATACAGATATATCTGGTCCAAAACATTTCTCCATTCTTCGTTGCACAGAACACAGATAATATTTTGTTTTTGGTATACTAATTACACCCGGATGCACAATATATCCATTATGGAATTAATACTATTGTGCAATATTTTTTTTTCCGAAACAAAGTCTTAATTACCAGGTTTTTATTTGTACCAATCACGACGTTTCTCATCATTCAGACTTCGCGAGCCTAGACTTGTGCCGAATCATTGCCACCTTTCCGTACATTCTTCTTTGAATACGTTTCTTCAAATAAACTATCCTTACAATACCAATGATTGATCAACAACGATGTGTGATATATTGGTTTTGATTAGTGTAAGTGGATATCATTTTGAATTTAAAAAACAGAAAAAGAATGAAAACAATAAAACTGGACAAATCAAGCTTGACCGATTTCACATTGTATTATAGTTACACAAAGACAAATACCTATATATTTTTCTACGTTATATTTTCGTTTTCAGCCCAGTAAGTTTTTGCGTTTATTTACAGGTTATTCGGTATTTCACTTATACTCTGATGACCTGCTGCGTACATTAATAAATGATTCATTTCATTCTCCCGAGCATGAACTTGCGCAACTAAACGACCCAAAATCAAAACAATACCGAGGTACCTAACCTCTTCCCCTCTTATTCGACCATGGTTTTCTGATTATAATTTATTTATAATAACAGCCGGGTCCACAGGTTGGGGTTGGGATCTACACAATGTGTTTAATAAAAAAATAAAAGAGACAAAGATAATATTCTAGTTAATATAAATAACAAAAGATTCGAAACAGAGGTGTTTTTAAATATTCTATAATAATAATAATTATTATTGTTCTCTTAGTATTATATGTTTTAAATATCAAAAAATGCGATTTATATACTTTCAACAGCAAGTTAAACGGTATACTGTGTTCTTAATTAATATTTTTAATTATTATTTATTTTTAAAATAATACTATTTAATTACGGCTCATAAGTTTCTAATGTACCAAGTATAATCAACAGAATTTAATACTCAATTAGAAATAATAACAAGTATAATTTTAAGTAAATTTCATGATAATTATATTAGTACAGGGAAAGTATGGTTTATGACGAAAGCAAATTTTAAACTGAAAATACGTTAAAATATCGGTCAATAATAAAAATAATAATAGTTCTAATGTTGAATAAAATACAACCAATTTAGGTATTATTATAAATTATTTGGTAACCCTAAGACCAAGATAGTGATCGATAAAACTACTTAAGTAAGTACCAATAAGTAATTGAAACACAATTATGAATGTTCAAAACTGATACAATTTCTTGTGATATTTATGATTACAACTGATGTGTGAAAGTAGAAACATATTATTATTGAGAATTAATATAAAACAATTTTAATTACAAATCAAATTTTCTCATTTCAAACTTTATTTTAAAATACAATATAATAAATATTCTTTAACAAAGTTTTAATATAAAAATCAGTATTACTTTCTAGTTTATTAAAAAAAATTGATCGTCGGACATATTATGTTATTGCCCACTTAATATTTATTACTTATTATGATCGTTGAAATTATATTTCACCAGAGTTGGTCATTGGGCTAATGATTATCTGTATTATAAATTCTTATTTTGTGATGTGAAATGTGTTTGAATAATTTAATTTTCTTTTTTTCAAATTTTAAATCATTTTTGTTCGTTGCAATGTACTGACTACTAAGTTAAATACCCTGAATAATAACAGCTGAAAATATAGTTGGGACTTTCTTGTAAGACAAAATACACGGAATAGTGTATTTGAGGAACTTTCAACGATTTATTTTAAGTATTTATTTAATACAGTTAATGGATTTTTTTTCACAGAACATTGTTTTTGGAATATAATATACATTAGAAACTCGACAGTCGAAATTCTCAATAAGTTGAAAGAAAATAAATCTTCTTTATTGACTTTATATACGCATATTAAGTATATATGATACTACCTATATAGTTAGTCATATATTTTATTGGTACCTATTCTATATATATTTTTTTAAACTCGATTTAATGTCTAGAGGTAATACTTATGCAGTTATGCTACTGTAGTAAAATATGCTGAACTTATTTACTGTTTCAAAAACACTGTATCGATATTTACGTCCTATTTTATAAATACTTACTTGAAATTACGAGGAAAAGGCATTTTTAATAAATTATATTCGTACCCCGTAAGTAATCAAATTCAGAGGTTTTACCCAGAAATGATATTTTTAATAATTATTGTGGTTGAGGCAACCTACAACAACAACTATGTGATATGTATTAAAATTCACTAAGTATGCATACAAAACGGGCTAATTGCGGTCGTTGTTACGCAGTGAAGGGTGGGGGGGGGGAGATGTGGAGGTGTAATATTTAACGGTTGCGATGCAACACGAACATCGAAGGAATTACCGGAGGACTACGGTTCGGTAATTAATCTCGTTCAACGGTGATGTTGGTAATCAGTCGGTTGTTAGTCATTACGAAACCTTTAACAAGGCATGCGGAACTTCGGTGTCATCGTGTGTGTGTGTGTGTGTGTGGGGGGGGGGGGGGTGGAATCTGTAGGGTTAAGGTTAGTTTGTGCCCCCAAGTAAGTTTTCTATGGGGAGCACGCGTCCCCTTAAACGTCGTCGTGGGTTTATTGTACGGATTGCCATCATCAAGTTGTCTGACGTCGCAAGAGACGGTACAAAGTTTACGTAAAATGTGTCCGTAGAATTACGCGAAGACTCGGTGTCTTAGTTGCACTGTTTCGCACTCAATTATTTAAACACATAGAATATAATATAACATAATTATATATAATTAATGCATATAATATATAAACGCATGCGACCGCCGGAATCAACAATCCAGATGGTGCTTAGGCCAATTTATTTGTGTGTGTGTGTGTGTGTGTGTGCGCGCGCCACACTCTCTCTCTTTCTCTTTCTTTAGTAATAAAAAACAAAAACCGTATTATATTCGTAGATAATAAAGAAATGGATGGGCCTTACCATAAATAATGTGAGAGCTCGGATAGACGGCATGACGTTACCACGAGATAACAGTGGTTATTGAAATAAGATTATCAGTAATAAATATCAAACGAAGAACGATCAAAAAAGAATAAGGTATTAATGTACCAAACTAATATTGTTTCTAAACTCGTGAATTAAATACGTTTGAAATTATCGTGTGACTATATATATTAATATTATTATTATTAACAATTAAAAACATTTTTTAGTTTAATTTATTACTTATCATCACAGACCAATTTAGTATCGATTCATAATAACCATACAGTAACCACTGCAAACCACTGTGGAATCCGAAATTCTTTTTGAACACACTATGTTTCGTGTGTTGTAGCCTTGTAGGTAAGGAAGGACCATCAATGTCCTTAATATCTACGATTATATTTAAGTATTAAATTATATTATATTATAAGTAATTACCTATAATCGAGGACGACCTGTAATCTGCATAATCGTGGTAGGCAGCTTTATGATTTATATATGCGGGTATGGTGGATAGACACGTTAGTTGAACCTCAACGCCTAGTTTAGCCGACACTGGATATGTGAGCCTCATTGCGGCCGCCGAGTCCAACGCCGCCTTAACGATTGGTTTCATGTAGGTATCTGGAGGCTGAAAAAAATTGTGTTTGTAGCGATTTATTATCAATACAAAATGTATAGTATAAACAATGCACTATCATGTTAAAAGGAAATTCATTTTTTTTAGTGTTGCAAATAATGTACCGAACACTTTTGTGTATAATATGGACGGTGTTCGCGAGAAAGGGCTCTAAAATCTCTAGTTTTGGCTTATTGTTATTTTAATTATTTTAATTCAGTGCAATTATTTTTGATTTATCGTAACTTAATTATGTTAAATAACTCGTGACCATTATCAAGTTGAAAGAATAATTAATTTCTTGAATTGTGCCCTTTCATGCGTCAAAGTCACTTGTATCTAATCGTATGAATAAAATCATAATTTTTTGTGATAAATGTCAAAAATGTCAAAAGTGTAATAATGGCCAATAGGTTTTATATTTCTTTTTTTTTTTGCACTTTATGTACCGCTTTATAGCTCTAAATTATACACAAAGAATTAACTTTCAGGCAGAAAAAATGACAGAAATTATAAAATATTTATTCTTTTAATCATAAAAAAGCAACAAAAAAATGTTGTGTTTATAGCTTTTTAACAAAATTAATATAACCATATAGCGACCGTAGCTGTAGGTTAAAATAAAATATAACATTTTTTGAAATATTTAAAATTGAAATAATTGAAAATACTTAACATATACTTAGATCAATTATTACGACAAAATACATGTAAAAAGGAAAAATTTATATAATATATATATTTTAAGAACAAGAGAAAATTAGAAGGTTGGTACCTACAAAATATATGTATTGATTTGATGTTTTAAAAATCATAATAATAATGTATATCATGATACGGTACCTATACTAAAAAAATATGGTAACAGACCTAACCTACCGACGACATAATATATATTTTAGAGGTGATTAAATTGGTCTTATGGAACGATACAATTTTTACACAATTTTTTTATTTCTATAAATTAAACATATTTGAATATCATGAAGGGTGCTTTTTTATCCCATTTCTACCATTTTCTCTATAAAAATTGTGTTTTTTATTTCTTTACCATCCTATTTTCGAATATTGTATTGATATATTTCAACGATACCATTTTTCATTGTGATTTTTAGTTTTAAAAGTTTCTTACCACATGAGATTTATTTATTTAGCCGGTTTTTGGTAATACATTTTTAAGTCACGATTTGTCATATTTATACAACTTTTTGAGTTTAGACACAGTGCAGTGAAAATATATGAATTGCTATTCACGAACGGTAGTAGAAAAAAGTATTCATACTTTAAAGTATGAAAATAAACTTTAACTAGTATTTGTTCGGATTAACAAAAAATTCGTTTTGGTTTAATTTAAAATTTCGACCTTTATCATCATCAATATTTTATGAACTTTAAAATAATTAACGCCACATGGTATACCTGTATATGTCAAATATAGCCGGGTTTGACATGTCATATATTTATGAATGCAAATCAATTTGTTACTTATATTAAATTGCGTTAGCAATGGTATTAAACACAAATAATATAAATTCCCATTTCAACAATTGTCTATTCAAATAAACTGTATCCGGAAAACGTAATAATAAAATAAATTAATAAATCCATTCACATGTGGTAAATTGTATACGCAATTATTACTTGATTATAATCATTGACAACTTTTAGGTACGTACTTACATATTATAGTGTTGTTAAGTATCGATGCAATTCAGTTGAAATAATATTACGTCTAATTTAAAAAAAAAAGAATTTTAATAATAACGGGACTGTGAGGTAACCAACAAGTGTCGAGTGAGCAGAGGAATTTACTGGCCATAAGCCAGCCAAAAAAAAGGGGTGACTATAATAGGTGGGTATGCTCGACTCAGACTTACTGATCCTGTACCTATTACATGGTTATGGCCGTTATAGGTTAGATTAGGTCAGAACACAGATTGTCTGAGTCTTATAAATCAATAACTATTTCGAAATAACAATGCTACCTACATATACATATTATCATTTCATTATATTATTTACGATTACGACATCTCCGGGTCAACAAGAATACATTGAATCCACTAGGTTTGCCTGTTGCAGACAGCTGAATCGATTGATTTTCGCCTTTTAGCTATGGAATATCACCGTTTTTATATAATTTTGACTTTGGGCTATTCACCTCTACGCGTGTGTATTATTATAATATGTTGTTACAGTTAAATATTTTTTTTTTTCATACAGGTAGGTACACAAAACCATTATAGCTGTACATCAGGACGAAATAACTTTTGATTTGTAAAAACAAACAAAAACTAAGGTATTTTATTTGTTGATATTATTAGTTGGGTAATTATTTTTTCAGTGCAGTTTTTAAACAATCTACCTTCAACTGAAAAAATAACACCTTTTTTCTCATCATACTTGATGAGTACGTTTTAATCGTTATTGTTCTGTGAATTTCTATTGCGTTTTCTCCTCAACAACAACAAAAAAAGAACTGTGGTGCCTACATAATATTATAACTTAATATTTATAGTATATAGGGTATGTTATATCTAACGAAGTTGATTCTAACATTAATCATTCAAAGACGTTGTATACAATAAGATGTAGTTACTACCGTATTCGTGGAAAATACAGAAAAACGGTGATACCAAATCAAAAACAAAAAGTCATACAATTCAGGTACGACCTATTTCGTTTGAGGTATCGATATTATCAATACACAATACACATTCAAGTATTACGCTACAAAAACTTAAATTAAAAACTTAAAATATATGATATTATGTTTCATTTTTATTAAGTTATAGCTTATAAAGATAGTATTACATATTTATTTTTTTCGAACTTCATATTTGATATTATACAGCCATCGTATATTTTTTTATACCTTGGTATAAAATTTAAATTATTTTTCCAAGTGTTTATGCATTTAACTGGAACAGTGAATGTATAGCATAATATTCCAATATGTTAGAGTTAAAATTACAGCTGGGTTATGAATGAAAACTTATTTATTCTGAATTTGGGGAAAATCTGGGTACCTGAGGTAGTTTATTTTGATGGTCTTGTGACCCTGCGGGCATTAAATATATGAAGATGTGGAGCTAAAAGCCCGCGAGAGCGCATCATTTCAATGAATCATGCCAAATTCTGTGCACGCTTACTCGCTACATAATTTACAGTTATTGCTATCTCACGTGTTTTACTGTTTCCAAAGGCACTAAAAAAATTATCCATATACTTGTTATTCACTAAATAAAAAATAAAAAAATAAGACTTACAAGTTCATTAATAAAATACGTTAATAATAATACGGCTACTTATTATTTATTGCAGTTCAAGTATTTTTCAATCCAAACTGCAAATTGTGAGATCATGTTTCTACCTTAAAAGTATGATTTTACGTTTCCATGTCACGTTTGAAAAGCTTAAACGCATATTCAGTATTAGAAATTATTGGGATACCTACCATAATCTTATACATAACATTTTTACTAAAGCAATTTCTATTTGAAATGTATATTAACATTTTTTCTTTACTCTCTATAAAAGTAACTAAAATAAAACGTTTATTTGAGTTTTAAAGAATCTTAAGCAATTTTGCTTATATATTGCCAATAATATGTATTATTACCATTAGAGTTTAAAAGCCATTAGCTAAAAATGTTATTTTTTATTCATCATATAAAAATTATATGGTACCTGATTGTTTTGTATCTTAACTTCAATAGTTGGATTGACTTTTTATTTGTATTCTGTTTTATTCATGAAATGACCTTTAAAAATCTATGTTTTTAAAAGTAAAACTAATTTTTGTTTTAAAGGTCAAACAAGTTATAATAATTTTTTTTTTTTTTGCAAACCTACATTATAAAAATCTTGAATTTGTTGTTTATAAGGTTTTAAAGTTAGATGGGTTATGTGATTATCTATAACATCGGTGCTATAACAAACGTATATAATAACTATAATGAGAACCTAAATTTTAAATTAAGGTCAAATTTGAAACACTATTTAGAAAAAATGTGTAATCATATTGAATATTTTTTCAATTGTTGATAAATTTCAAAATTTGATTCATACATGCTACTGGGATTAATTTGCAGTAACATTTTTTTTATATTACAATGTATTATAATAAATATCATAAATACAATGATGTTATAAAATCTATCTAGTGGTTGCCTATCGTGTTCTTAATCATATGTTCATATGTCTAAATTTGTGTCCAGTTTATTTTTCAAATATCTCACGTTATAATTATTTATTACTTTATTACGTCCCTGGTCATTTATTATCCACATTATTTTATTTGTTTATTTATTATTATTTTTACGTAATAAACTTTTGACGACTTAATTTATATTTTTAACAATTACGATGAAACATAAACAGATCATATGATTGGGATCGATTGAGTATCAAAAGTGACCTGTGTAAACTAATGAGATTGTACTCTCACCTCACCCCAGATGGGGTTGAATTTCTAGTAATTTTCACCTAAATAAAGGTAAATAAAAAGTGTCTTGCTGTCTAGACGGTGTTGTTTAGTAACTGAATACTGAGTCGTTCAAGGCATATACCCGGTCATTTTACAGTGTTCAAATAAAATGTCTACCTAGGTTCTTGCGCATATTTGTTTTAAAGAGTTTAGGCATAGAATCTTCACTGCTGGATCTATAGTCATGGATGAGGAATTTCTAAGGTGGTCGGCCTACAAGCTTTTGACCCACATTAACCTCAATGTTAAGCAAGATTATAAATTTGTGGGATTTCAAAAATGCAGTATATAATACTATATATATATGTGTACTGTCGTTATGTCATATAATTGTTCAGGGCCCACTATTTGAGTGGGGTGTGGAGGCCCCACAGGTCTGTGTATTATTATTTATTTAATTCCCCCTTGAACAAATTATCACAAAGCTTCCCCGAGTGCCACCGAGAAAAACTAAGAGCACTTAACGATTTATTAACTATAATAGCCAACATGAGGATAGAAGTCAAGGGATGGGACATAATATAAGAACCCAAAATCTTATACTTGGCTCACATGTCCAAGTAACTGTCCGTTGAGGTTAATTATGAGGTTGACTATTGTCCTAAAGACCTAAACCAATTCCTTTAGGCATCCGATGTTATTAAATTACAATAATGTATGTTTATACATTTATAATAATATAATACAATTTTTTTTTTACTTATATATATTATTTTAAACCTGTATGCAATATCACTTATTATTATTACAAAATGTTTTTCGTAATAGTAATAATAGTATAATAATTGTTATTGCTGAAAGAAATGAATAAAAATAGTTTTGAATTATTAACACGCAATATTATTATTATCATTATTAATTTCTCTTTTTTTTCAGAAGTTTGAAAATATAAAATATGATAATAGTGTTTGCATGACACTGACGCATCAGATTTGCCTACATGGAACGCCGTGTAACCACTTTATCATTAAATCTATGAATTTAATTTAATTTAATTTTTCTTTACAAACACGATAGTTTTTATTGTTTATTTAGATATCTATCTAATATATGTATAATATACCAGATGTTCTCGATTGACTGATCAACGCAGAGCTTAAACTATGATAGCTAGAGGCTTGAAATTTTCATAAAACTTTCATTCAGCCGTGCAAGGATGCATAAAGAAAGAATTTTCCAAAATTCGCATTTTAAACAGGTGCACCCACAAGGATTTTGAAATTCATAATGAAAATCGAAAATTGTTTTTATTTATAAATGGTTGCCATCGGTTATAAATTATTATAGTAATAGTAAAACTAAAAATAAATCAGTAGAAATTGGTATTTTTCTAGATACCCATAATGGTTGCCACTGGTTACTTGGGTAGATGAGGTAAAATCATGCATCAAATAGTAGTACTTAATTAAAAGTATTTGGTTAAAGAAACTGTACCACAAAAATAGTAAATAAATATAATACAATAAATAGTATTTATAGCCTATATATTCAAAAAATGTTAGAGTTGTTTCAACTATATTAAAAAATGTCCCAAGTGCTAAGTCCAATCAGCGTGCATATGTAGGTCAAATTATTTAGCAAAGTTCAGGGTGTACACCAACACCGATCTGCACGTGGACTGAGTTTAAAAAAACTGAGATACACTAATGTAGAGTTGTATTTTATATTTATTGATTTTTTACAGGTTGAAGTTGGTATTAAATCTTTGGCACGGGCAGGATATCTAGTCTGGCGAGACTCATGAACATCTGTATGAAGTGCAATGTATTTACATTAAAATTATGTCTTAAGTAAAAATTATAGTATATACATCGATATTTGCTTAGAATCGACCACCATGTTGCTATTATAATTTAATTAGAAATTACCTTTCGTCCATTGACCAGCCATGTGATTTCGGGCACTGGCTTTGAAGGTCCCGACGTACACGTGGCTTCTAACATATCTCCCACGTTGAACACTTGTTTAAAGACTTCAATCTCGGGATCTCTATTTTGAATTTCTGAAAATAAAAAATAGTTTCTAATAGGTATCATTTTGTAATTCATTAATATTTTGTTTGACAAGAAATATACTTACTTATGACTGTGAGGTCGTGGTGTTCGGATGTCTTACTATATATTGGGGATTCTGTAGTTACTGTGCACGCGTACTGACCAGAAGCATCATGTTGTACGTCCATGAGTGCCAGCTCGGATGGTTTTGTTTGACCCCACTAAAAATGTGCATAAACAAATTTAATAATGAGTCAAATATTATACTTGGATAGATATTTTTTCATGAGTTCCATATATTATGTTAGTTATTTAAAACACAAATAAGACAAAACATATAAATCGTAGTTATCCGGGTATTAATAATAGGCGAACAAATCGCGTTACTAATGCAAACTTTATGCGTACTCCGAAGAATACACGAATGTGTTTCGACAAAAACTAGTGGGCCCTATAATTAGATAACAATATTTGGTTTATATAATAACAATAGAACGTTGATTAATATTCATATTAAATGGAAATTATCAATTAAATATAGGTAACTTTACGAATATGAATTCATTGAATAAATGAATAATTACACGAAATTCAGTGTTTTAAATTAAATTAAATTTAACGCATGTACAAATAATATGATATTTGTCTTGTACCATATTACATTAGTTCTACCGAGTATATGAATACACTATACGGAGTGACTTTTTATCACGATTCAGATTGCATCCAGAAGTATAAGCTATGTTTATTTTAATTTTAATTTTACCTGTAAGGATAATATTTTTTCCCTAATCAATTTTAAAAAATCTCCCGTTTATGTATATTATGTATAGCCGTTTAGGTAACGATTTATCTTTATTATTAAATTATTATATTGTTATTTTTTTGTTTATCGTACATATTTCTTAACGCATCTAAGCTATTGTATAGAGTATTTTTAAATTAAACTACATAATATATGTATAAGAAAATTATTGTTTGCGAGTTACGATTATATTATTTTTTAAGATTTAATACGCCATATTATTCTACAGCCACCCATATATATTTTGTTCACAGACAGATTTAAATATATTTGAAAAAATGAAGATACGACCAATCTTTAGAAAATGTCATAAAATGTTTGAAGAAAATAATATATAGTATTAGTAGTTTTAATAAAACACCACGTGTTAGGGTACCAAAACAATTTAAAATATAATGCTCTACCAGTGACGCTACGTCCAATTTGTTTTCAAAAAAAAAATTGCCAGCAGATTTCACTGTACAAATTATATTCATAAATCACATTTTACGAGTACTTGCATAGTCACACGCGATCAGCGTGGCTGTGGCATGTTGTACCGTTGTACGTACATGTCAGCACGTACCAACGCTCTGACGATGGGTTACATAACGTTGTGTCTATGTCATGTCATACATGGTTTATCGTAAGTCCCGTTTGAAGTGAAATAATGGAAAAACCTTCATTCTTGGTATTAGTAATAAAATGATTATATTCCGCTGTGCCGGATTCGTTCGTTTGTGGGGGGCCCTAGGAATTTAAGATTTCGGAGCCCCCCGGAAATTTATTTCCCACTTAGGTCGTCTTTAATTTTACCACTAAATAATTAAAATAAGTAGTTTTTTAGTGCAATAATCGATTGATTTTGATAAATTAAATAATTTTAATTCAATTATTTCACCAAAACTATTATTCGTCTGCAGAAAGAATGAATAAATTTTTTTATTTTCTGATAATTTGAAAAAAATGTTCTTAATAAAATATAAAAAAAAATTAACTTCAAGTTTAAAATTATGAATTTCAAATATTTACTGGGGTAGATGAAAGCCTTATTAATATATAATTTGACAACATCCAAAAAATATTTTTTACTGCATACAATATCGTATAATGCATTATTAATAATATATTCATATTGACTATTGTTCAGTTAATCCTTAAATGTAACGTAAAATTAAAAAAAAAACGTAATAAAAAAATGCTTTTCGTTTTCACGTGGCTTCATAAAGGGTGGAACCCATAGGCGCGTGAGTACTTCGCCTAAAATGGGTAATCCGGCACTGATTGTAATATAATGTATTTAATATGTTAAAATAAATAAAACTTAACAATACGTTAGGGTGACTCGTATTATTGTCACTTATTGTTATTTGCGGTCCATTGTCTGCGTTTAAAAGTTTTTTCTCTTAGTTTTTTTTTTTGTACAAAGCGATATTATACGTTTTGCTGTACGAAATTATAAACGGTCGAAATGTTCAACTCTCTAAACTTTTCCACGAGGATGCGATACATTCATCTGAATAATAATAATATAATATGTATAGCACAAAACACAATTCCATGCCGTAGACTGCTGCAGCAGTATAAATTGTTGTTCACAATAGATTTTGTGTAGCTATGGTACATGAATAAAATTACTAACGACATGTAAAGCGCCGACGTGTGCAAATTATTATTATCTTATCTTTTTTATCGTTTTTTTTTTTTTTTTTTACTATAAAACGCGTTTCACTAGCGATTGACATCATAATAATAATAATAATATGATAGCTAATGGACGGGCCAAGTGGTGCGATAATCAGGGTCAACGCGTACGTGCGGAGTGGTGGGTTTAATAGATGTGCCTCTCAATGGATCTCGAAAGTGCACCATACCCTGTGGCTCTCGTACAACACCCATTGACTGACATATTAAGATAATAAAATGTGGGTAGCGGATAGCTGTTAAATAAAATTTAAAAAAAACCCTTTGTAATATTCTCGTTTGAAAATTTATTTTTAGCTCAAATTAAATGTACAAACCGATAAGACCGTTGGATTTTGAAATTATAAACTATAATCATATGTTTGACATTTTTATTTTCCATTGAAACATTGATAACATATTTAGTGTAACTAGGAACGTTTTAAATTAATAATGTAAAATAAATTTTTGAAAATGATACAGTTGTTTATTTAAAGAACCCATCGTATTGTCGCAGTTGAATTAACATTATATTAAAATGTATAAGCTAAAATATACAAACATTTATAATTTTTTTTTATGATTCTAGGAATAAATTAAAATAATGACAGTTATCTATTTTTTTGTGTAAAAATAACAAAAAGATAATAGTACAATATCATTTAATTTATCGATTATCATAAAAATATATGTTTTCAATGGCAGTAATTTAAAAAAGGTATTTAACTTGTACATTTTTACAATAGGTACATTTTACATACTTATAGTTATCATTCGACATATTTTACATAACTGACAAATAAATTAGTTTTAGTTGAACACTGATATTGAATTGGAAATGATTTGTCTGGGATTAAAAACTATATATTATTACATTTAAAAATTAAAGTTGTTTTTAAAAAGTTCAGAATAGTAAAACACAACGTTTTAGCCACACTATACTCGTATGTTTTAAAGCTGCGAACCAGAAGAATTATATTATTGATGCTATTTTGAAATTAATAAATGATTAATAGCCTTTTGTACATTTCGTAGAACAATATTTTCGGTTCGTTTAATTAAAATTGGAGTATTGTAATTGTTTTTCATGTAATGAAAATTGTCAATCAAAACTCGAGACCTATAATTATATTATACCTAAATGCATTTTTTTTTTGTATTGTTTGCATCAGATTGATTCAAATCAATACATTTAATTCCTTTAGTATCCATCCCGTCTGACAGTATTACTATGAAATTAATTTATCACTAACTTACACAAAAGGTTGTACAAAAGGTTTCATAGTAAGCGTGGAGATTGGTATTCTATAGTGCTGTAATATGATTAAGTTTTATTGTTTTTTTTTTTTTTGATTTCCCGTTTAATGATTTAAATGATATTTATGTAAAAAAAATTATAGTTTTGCTCAATTTGTATAAGATGTGTTATAATATTTTCGATTTATTTTATATAATGTAATATGTCTTATTACATATTATTACGTTTAACAATGTAACAAAAAACTAAAGAGTGGTCTGTATTTTCAAAACAATATAATAGTGTCGTTTAAGAATAACCAATATATCTAACTATATTATAATATTTTATGACCAATAATTTTTTATTTCTTTATTATTAACTGTCTGTGACACATGCCTGGGATTTACAAAAGTTATAATATTCACATTGCATAAGCTTGCTTGAAAAGTCTTATATTAAGCTTATACATTGATTAGTTGTTTAGTTTAACGATTAATTTTGAGGAGTACATGAATTCAACTGCTTATTTTGTTGAGAGTAAGGTTTTAAGTGATGTGGAAATGTTAATATGTTCTGAGAGATTGGCCATTTTCAAGTATTCACCGTTGGATTTATCATTATTTTTGTATATTTTGTATTTAATTTTCTAATAATAATACCACCGTTGGGTACTTTATCTATATATTAGTTGCATTTTACTGAGAAAATGGTTTAGATTAAATTATTATGGCGTATATGTTTAAAATTAATTCAATATAAACAGTTCTAGCTGTATACGGTAAATAATATGATGATCATGTTCACTGTAATTCGAAATAATACAGTTGATCTCATACGACTTATGGTGCAAACGTAACATTCAGAGCAATATCGTTTTGTATTTCACAATCAAAGATCACTAATCACTAAGGTACTCATCTGCAGCAGTAACGCAAAGCAATTATATTACAGAGACTTTTCTCGTTTGATTTTGGATGATAATATTACCTAATAGTATATAGTTCCGACTCGCTGAACCCACCTACGATTTTCATTAATATTACATAGCGGTAATTTGCTCTTTCTGATTTCTGGTTTTCGTTCCACGAAGAGATCACAAACGGTAGTCTGAGAGGTAATTATAAAAACCTAGTCAACGTCGCAATAATTCACACTTAAAAGTAATCAAAAGGCACATTATAGTTGTTTTTATCAGTTGAAGTTGTCACCACGGTCCGACTGATTCGAGAAACATGGTTCATTTGATATTTACTTCAATAGTATTCGATTATTCAAGTATTCTTGTATTTTAAAATTTTAAATAATGTGTACTAAACGAACATATATTCGCATGTGCTCAGATTTTTTTATGACATTTTTATAAAGTATTCTTTGGTGATACATATTTTTTATTTTTCCAAATGAGAATCATCTTTTTTTAATTGTAAATATAATACTGTTAAGAGGATATAATTTTTTGTTTTTTTTTTTTGTATATTAATGCATAAAATAAAATATAAGATAAGGGATGAACGCATGCTTTATGTTTGCATTAGCATACAGGGATATCAATTCAATTGTATACTCATTATTTAAAAAAAATTGAACTATTATACTTCGACACTATTATAAAATAGTATAATAATAATAATTATTAATTAATAATAATAAATATTATAATAATAATATATTATTATAATAATTATGCGACGTCAACAAAAAATTAAGTCCGATCCTACTATTTTCTAGATATAGGTACCGAGTACATGTCTTATCGATTCGTACCTTTTGTTACAACACTCTAAAATATAATAATTGTATTAAAGTAACGTGGAGAATTTGCACACAAGTAGAAATAAACGGAGTTGACATTTTTCATCGACAGCGATGCGCCCTGGGCGCTAGGCGGGTTGTGGTTCATGGTCGTCTATAAACTGTTGTTAAATTGTGCAAAATTGTTAAACACGATTATTTAATTTCGTATCCGTTTATCTATCGTGGAGTATAATAATAATAATCAACTTTAAAATTTAATAATTTCTAATACAATTTAATTATTTAAGTTTAGTTTTATCGATATTCTATGTTATAAGTGTTGATAGTACCTTGTACATTTGCTGCTACCCTTTTATAATAATATACTATATATTATGTATGCGTACACACCGTGTATACAACAACTAAGTACAGCAGTAATTAGAAGAGCCATTAGTCGGATAAAGCCTCACACTGTCATCTCTAATTATGTCCTATGCTCTACTCGAGTGTAGTGATTTTAAAATCTCAGCATGTAATTGTTTGCTACAGCATTTACGCGTCACAAGTAAAAATTATAATAACGCACTTTTCAAGACGATCAACCAAAATTCTTATAACGTGTAATTCAGAATGATTTAATACGAAGACGAACAGTAATGAATATGAAGATTGTTTTTCAATACAAACAATTGGAAAATAAACAGTATAATAAACTCAGAAGAAAAATAACGAAAGTAAAATATCTTAGTATCGAGTCTGATCGTAGTATGGTTTGCCAAGAGGGAGTAATATAGTATTTAAACATTGTTTTTTTTTATTTATTTGTATACAGCATAATATGCTGCAGTGGTCTATAAATAATATAACAATTGTGACTTAATTTCTAATTCTATTAGGATATAGCCCCGGTCTGAAAATATTATCGAATTCGATAAACCAAACAATTATAATAGAGTACTTCACCATTGCCTAACGTTGATGGTGGCCGCGTCAAGGTCTCAAGGGCGTCCATCAATCAGAACCTAGTAGGGTAACAATATCATTAAAAAAAAAACTAAAAACCAACCAATTTTTCTCATTAAATAACAGAAAATAGACGTACAATATAAATAAACGGTGTACCCATGTGATATGTCATGTAGTATAATATCATTTTACTGTAAAAAAAAGTACTATAATTTCACATTTATCTAGGAGGTGACATGCCACCCTGATGCACCCCCTAATGAGAGCTTTTGGCCTCAGTGGTGACAAAAATTGTTTAAGTCTTTGAAGAAAATTGTTGATTTTAAATATTTTTACCCTATCAATACACCAAAGTGAGTCTCAGATCCAGAGGACTTACTCTAAACGGGGTATAATATGTTAATTATAAAATTTGCCATGATATATTTTATGTTATGGACTTGAAGTCTTACGATAATACACTCAGCCGGACTACCCACCACCCACCCATTACTGAGATGAAGCAATTTCTTCAAAGTTCAAATAATCTTACATCTAGCAGTGACTGAGTCTTTGGCACTAATTTAATTGTTTTCTTTGTGGATTAAATAATTTAAATACCCCAACTATATCAGTGATATCACTACCAAAATGTTTACTGCAAATAATAATACTTGTTATACTTATAAATACTTATTAAAGTACATCCAAATGCCCCTCAAACTCAAAGTGATTAAAGAAAGTGTTTTATAATTTCAACTGAGTAATAAATTAATTAAAGAC